CCGGAAGAAAGGAGGGGCGCCGGGTGGGCGTGGCCAGGGGCCTCGCGGAACCAATTCGCGGGCTCCGGGGGCGGGGCTTCCTGCGGGCCCGCCCCCTCCCCAGCCGGTGCGCGTGCCCGGCCCCTCCCTCCGGCCGCGCGCAGAGCCTGGGCTCCGACGGCGGGCCTGGCACGCGGCGGCAGAACCTCCAGCCGGAGCCACGAGGGCCTCGCCTCCCGTGGTGGGGGCGGCGGCACACGTCCTCTCGGCTCTTCCGCAACTCCTCCTCACGCGGGGCTCTCTCTCCCTTGGTTCGACCCGCCTCCCTGCTGCCTGAGGGCGAGTTCAAGCCTTGCTTCCCTGCGGAGCGTGGATAGGCTGCCAAGGGGAGCTTGCGACTGACGCTCGTCCTTCTTGATCTGAAATCACCGGCTGCCCCCTGTACGTGAGATAGCTCGTGCACAACTCCTATCTGGGCTCTTTGCTGGCAGAGCTGCTGTCTCCATCTGAGCATGGCAGCCTCCTGTTGAGTATAGTCTCTGCCAGCACTGACCCCAGCGATGGCCCGACGAGGAAGCGATCCTTGAGTGGCCGGCCAGACTTTCTCTTTCTGAGATAACTCAAGGACTTCCCAGGATTATAGCTTAAGCCTTGACTAAACACATAAGAAAAGGGAGCATAGCCTTTCCAAAGAAAGGGACATTTTTCTCTCCCTTAGGCTGAACTGGCAGCAAGGTGTTAGTGTTGTGAAAGCAGCTGATAAGTCAAACTGGCCAGAAAAACACAAGACACTCATTAAAGAGAATTTAAAATGCAAATTGGATTGAGAGCTAATTGCTAAAGCTTTATTTTGACTAGCTTTCTTGGTGTTTACCAGGGCCTGGTAACATGGTAGCTACTGTTGGGGATTATAGCCTTGTGCAACTCAAAAATGATAATTTTTACCTCCAACCGTTATAAAACTAGTGTGATGTGCCTTTGTTTGAGGCGAAGCAATCCTGCTATGGTAGAACTAGGGCCACATCTCCATTTAAACATTGGCTCTTAACACATGCAGATGTGGGGCTATTCCAGGAGACTCTGTGCGGGTAATCACATTGAAATTGTTTCACTGACACGGGCCTTTAACTTTGCATTTTCATTAAATAGATAGTTACAAACACTTTTAATTGTCAAGAAATTTCTAAATCTCATGATTGATGTTCTATAGTTTTGATTTGTTCATTTCTTTGCTTTTTGTTGGTTGTTGTTTTGTCTTGGTTGTTTTGTTTTTTGAGACAGGGTTTCCCTATGTAGCCCTGGCTGTCCTGGAACTCGCTCTGTAGACCAGTCTGGCCTCAAACTCACAGAAAGCCGCCTGCCTCTGCCTCCCTAGTTTAAATCCCTTAATCTTCCTGGGATTAAAGGCGTGTGCTGCTACCACCCAGCTGCGGTTCAGTGGTTAACTCAGCTGGATCACCAGGCAAGCTAGGATCCCTGTGTAATAACCATTATTAATCTGTGGTCCACGAGGTTCAGACCATAGTTAAAACTGGACAAAATGCAAAAACCTGAAACCTCGCACATTACTAAACAGTACTATCCAGCAGCTGATGGAAACAGATGCAGAGAGCCATAGCCAAACAATAGGGTGTTTTGTGGAGGGGGGGGCGGGGTTGAGGAAAGACCTACAGAGTGAACTAACCTGAGCCCATGAGGGCTGAAAGAGACTGAACCACCAACCAAAGAGCATGCTGGACCTACACCCTCTTCACATATGTAGCAGAAGTGCAGCTTGGTCAACATACGGGTGGCCTAACGATGGGAGTAGGGCATGTCACTGACTCTGTTGCCTGTCTTTGGATCCCTTCCCCTTCGTTGGGCTGCTTTCTCAGGCCCCAGTAAGAAAGTCCTGCTGTTATTTGAGAGGCAGCATGGGTGGTACCCCTTAGAGAGGCCCCTTTTCTGAGGAGACAGAGAGAGGGAAATGGGGGATCAGGAATGAGGATGGGACTGAGAGGAGAGGGGGTGAAGGGAGCTGGGATCAGGCTGTTAGTGATCAAATTAAAAAAAGAATTAGGAAGATAAAAAATATTTAGTACTATTGAATAGTACTACACAAATCTGAAACACCTGTTTTCTCTCATTTACTTTTGTCCCACATTGTAGTTCCCTTGGAGTTTTTTTTCAAAACTTGCCCATGGAGGCTATCAAGATGGCTCAGTGATTAAGAGCAAATTTTCCCTTTTTGACATAAGAGGTGGTTCTTTTGCTGTTAGCTTCTTTTAGCAGAACTCCATCTACTTTTTAATTCATGAAAGAAACCAAGTTTTGTAATCGAGGACAGCCTATATGTACAAATGCATACATATAAAGAAAGAGGGGAGATTTAAGAATTGGTTTGTATGGCCATGGGAGACGGAAATCTATAAGCCATCAGTATAGAAACCCTAATGGAAATTATCATTTGCGCCCCATATTTATGTCTAGGATTTCTATTTTAAGTTCATAAGGCGAAATTTCTTATTGGGGAAAATTCAGCGTTTGCTTTTGGGGCCTTCAACTAATTGAGGCTCAGATCTGTCATTGAGAGTAACTCCTTTATTTAATGCAGCTGATTATGAATGTTAATCACATTCACAAAACACCCTCCACACTAACATCGAGTGTTTGAGCAAACTGATGCATACAAAATGAGTAACCAAAACAACTGCTAATTAATAAGGTCTTTTCAAACGCATGCTGATGCGTAGGCTTAAAAAATATGAGTTTTCTAATGGGTCACATAGAGCACTCTTATAGGAAAACAACGCCCTGGGCTTCGGAGATCACTCAGTTGTAAAATGCTTTGTTCACATGGTACACCCAAGTTCTATATCCAGAATCTATGGGGTTTTTTTTGTTTTTTTTTTTTTTTTGTTTGTTTGTTTGTTTTTTTTGTTTTTTTGTTTTTTTTTTTTTAAAAAAAGGTTTAAAAAAAAAAAAAAAGAAAGCCTCCATATGATGGGACAGTTGTAACCCAGTGCTGTGGAGGCAGACCCAGGCAGATT